AACTTAATAAATTTAATTACTAAGTTTGATAGAGATTTTTCGCACAATTGAGTAAATTTGTTTTTTTTTCTTTAGATGATAATATTTTTGTAATACATAATTGTATTATTTTTTAAAAAACTTTTCATGAAATGAATACTCAAATTCATGATTCCTCTTAGAGAAGTAATGAAAACAAGCTAATAAAATAATGAATTCTAAAAAAAGAGCCGTCGTAATAAGATATGCAGATGAACGGCCGATCCACAATTATTTCTACCGAGAAATCACCACGCTACGACCGTCAAAGATCTCGTAACTTCCGGGAAAATCGGGAGTTAGGCTTAACATATATGCCTGATTAGCATGCATACGTCAATTATAGGCCATGAACCTTGTGGTATTACGTTTTGGTAACTCTTTCTTAAATTGATAATCGCATATTTTTTCTTCATAAAGACTAAAGATTTTCTAAATTTAAAAATAAATATTTAAGATAATTGAACTAAAATTTTAAAGACGTAATGTTGTGAAACAGTAAAAGCTCCTTAAAATGCTTGTTCAAAAATTTTCTGATTAATAATAAATCTAAATATTTTTTGTGATCCTCGAAAAAATCATTGTTTATTGTAGCAATTTATGTATGGATTCTCAATATAATAGATCTATTGCAACAAACAAAAATTATTGCTCTTAAAAATGTAATGATAATAGCATTTAAAAAATCGTTTGAACCAATAAATGTTGTAGCATTTAAACAACTATTGTATGATATATTAATTATAGCATTTAACACATATATTGAAGCAGATTATGAGCTTAGTACGTAATATGTCTTGTATACAATCTGGTTTAATATATAATTCAATTGAATGCACTCTGAAAGAATGTATATAATTGTTTTCATTCTTGTATTTTTTTACACTTACAAATCGATTCATTGCTAGAACATTAGTTTTAATTAAAATTATTTTCAATATAAAATTTATCTAAAAATAAGAATTACTATTAAGAGTTTGAAAACAATAATAAATTATTTCACCTTTTAATTTTAATAAAATTTTAGATCGTAAATCATGTTCAAGAATAGTGGATTACAATAAAATATAACTATAGACACAGATTAAAAATCTATACGCAAGTTAACTCTCATTTATATTGCTAACAAATTTAATCCGAAGCAAGCATTTTTTTAATGAAGTGAAGGAACAAAATTAAGTAATTAATATTTTTTAGAAAAAGTATAATGAATTCCATTTACTAAAACAGCGCAATTATATGTTTAATTCTAAATTAACATTTTAAATTATAATAGATATGAAGAAATAATCTCAAAATATCAACGCCTATGCAGAAATGGTAAGAGGAAACTATCTGAAGAAAGTTGTTCCTTCAAGTTGGCTTTACCTTTATAAGCGACTTCAAGCAGAAAAGAATTTTGTCAGGGGCAAAGAGAAACATTTTCCTCTACATTTCTTTAAATCATCAACCAAATCCATTGCACAAAAGCTGTAACCTCATTTACTGATTCGTAAGCATTGAACCAAAACTGAATTATGAAACTAAAATCAGCAAATAAAATCTCTACGTGTACACCTTGTTAGGAACAAAAACATATCATAATTAATGATGATCGTGACTTCAATGAAGATGTGATTATGATTTAGTTTTTTTCTTTATCTATATTGTTTATTATTCATAAACAGATGATTAATCTAAGTCTGTTTTGGCTGATGATAATGTTTGATGCTTCAATTATATTAAGAGGTCTAGTTCTATAATATTTAAATTGATGTAGGTTAGGTAAAAATATTTTTATGCAATTACGCACTATTAATTATTTAAGAGTATTTTCAAATTGCAATTTTTTCTTTTAAAATTTGATTCATTTCCATAATAAATTGCTATACAAATTTTTTATACGTATAGTTTTGTTAGCGTTGTTAACAAGCCTTTAAAGAATTAGTTTTTTGAAATTATGAAGATGTTTTTTAATAGCAACCATGATGATTATCGATGAATATTTTTTTTCTAGAATTAGAAAAATTTATGCAAATAATTCATTTCGCATATTTTTATGGTAATATTTACTTCCGAAGTTTATATTATTTGTTAAGTTATATCGCCTTAAAGCATTTTTAAATTAGTGGCTAGTTTAATGAATAGAAATGGATTCTATACATTTATGAGGTATTATTTTTTTATTTATTTCATTTTCACTTAGGATAAAATTTCAGAGTACATGATTAATACTCAATCATATTCATAAGGGGTTTTTTTTGTTTTCTTTTAATTTAATCTATAAAATGCGAAGTTTGTGACATTAATCATGGGTTTTTAAAACTTAAAATATGGTGAAATGTACAAAGTTGTACGTTTTTAGTTTTAATGGGACGAATTGTACAGTATTTAGCATTTTTAAAGCTTTTTTAAATGAAGATTGGTTACTGACTGAAAAATACAGACTGAATAAATTTTGTAATACAGCCTTTTAAAAAACATTTTCACTTTACAAAATGAACCTCGATTGTTATTTTACACGAAAGTATGATTATACTTATATTAAAAAAAAATATATGGATTCACTCATTTAAAACATAAACACTAAGTTTATTGTATTCAATTCTAACTTTTAACAGATTACTGACATGTAAGGTTTCCAACTACAATAGCTGCTGTAACAACCCCGTTTTATATATTTTCTCCAAAAACATTTCTTGACTGAGAAAAGAATCCAGTCACCAATATTCTATTTACAGACATATCTGTCATAAAACGAACAATTTCTTTAGCTTAAGTAAAAAAGAAGGTGAGGAACCTATTCTATTTTTCGAAACATAACTACCTGATTTGTTTAAAGTAAACTGGGAGTTTTAACAAATTGCAACTCATACAAAAACTTTCCAACTTCAATCCACTATCTTACTATATATCTTTTCAAGAAACATTTATTAAATGAGAATAAAACCTAGTATTCTATTTTCAGTCGCTGCGACGAAAAATAAACAGCCTCTCTAAATGAAACAAAATGGAAAACCAATTCTGCTTCTATAAATATAACATAACTCAATTTATTAATAACAACATAATTTATTAATTCAGTTCAAACTTTTAATAAATTTAGCTGAGCCATAGTGCTCCCAACTACAATTACTGTTTCAACAATCTCACCTTATGTTTCTTCTCCAAAAACATTTCCTAAATAAGGAGCTAAACCTAGTATGCTGTTCGCAGATACTGCTGCCATATAAAGAAGAATATCATCAAAATTCGTTTTAAAATATTGTTATAAAATTCGAAACAAAATTATTCAATTTATTACATCTAGTTCTAGCTTTTAACACATTATTACTGATATACAGTGTTTCCTACTGCAGCAACTTTTGCAAAAATATTCCTTCATAGCTTCTTAAAAAAAATTTCCCAATTAAGGAACAAAATCTACTTCACTAATTACAGACAGGGCAACCACAGAAAAAGAACAGTCTCTCTAATTTAAGAATCTTCCAAAATTAAGGATTAAGGAGCAAAGTATACTTTAATACTTACAGTCGCAACAACCATAAAAATGAAGAACAACTCTCTAAATTAAGAAACAAATAAACAGAGAACCGATTTTATCTTCCAAAACATAACTATTCACTTGATTAAATTCATCACTAATGTTTAACAGATATATCGTGATACTTTTTCTACTACAATCCTTACCTTGTCTATTTTATTGCATATCTAATTAAAAGCCTCTCTTAATTAAGTATTTAAATCTAATATTATATTTACAGGCACTGAATCCGTAAAAAAACAAAAAATCCAAATTAGAAAGGAAAATTTAGAACCTGTTCTTTCTTTTAAATAGTAACAAATCAATTTAAATTTAATTCCAACTTTTAACAAATTACAAATAACATGAAATGATTACTACTACTATCACTGTTATTGCAACTTCACTGTGTGCATTAAAAAAAATTTAATTAAGAAACAAAATCTAGCTTCCAATAACAGACACCACAGCCATAAAAAGGACAATCTTAACCCAAATTAAAAAAAAAAAGAATCTATTCAATCTTTAGAAACGCAACTAATTTATTAAATTTAAGTCCATTTTTAGCAAACTACTACTGAAGGACAATCTTTCCTTTTAAAATCAAAGCTGTAACAATCTAACTGTATATATAAACAAAAAACATTTTGCAATTAAAGAACATAACCTGTATTCCGTTCACTCACACCACAGACATTAAAAGAAGAAACTACTTGAATTAACTTTAAGAAAAATGGCGAAATGATTCTATTTTTCTAACTTTTCTTTAACTTTTAACAAATTACTTCTTACATGCAATATTTCCTTCTACAATCACAACTGCTACAATTTTACTGTACAACTTCTAGAGAAACATTTCTTAATTAAGGAACAAAGACCAGTATTCTATTTACAGACACTGTAGCCATAAAAAGAACAATCTCTCTAAATTAAGTGAAAAAAAAGAAAGATGGCGGATCGATTTCATCTTTCAAAATATAACTACCACTCAACCGAATAAAGGAGATCTTGACCCACTTCAAGTAATTCAAGATTCTAGACAAAGCCCCTGCATTAGAAACTGGATCTAACACTTCACCGTTCGAGTCTTAGTTAACTTTAAAGACTTGCTCCCCCTCCCCAGGTTCTATATATGTTCTATATAAATCTCCAACCATCGTCAATAGCCCCCTTTTTCATCCATCCTCAACATTTTCTGGTAAAAAAGAGAAGCAGGATTGACAAGGATGGGGCTATCCCGTCTTCTCTCCCCCTTTTCATTTTTTTTCTGCGCCCCAGAAAAAGAAAACCTTATTGTGATTGGTAAAGTAATTCTCTTGTCGGGGCTCTAAATGGACAGGCTTGTATAAGAGATGTGTCAACACTATGTTGAAGAAAAGAAAAGGAAGTTGAAATATGAGAATGTTGAAGGAGTTAGGTTGAGGGAGGAGTTTTATTAAATAGCTTAAAATATATTTTTTTCTTTCTTTTTCTTCTTCAGGTTGGTCTGGATGGAACACGTAGAAGTTTTCTTCCTCTGGAGATTAAAGTTGGAAGCAATTTCCTTGAGACCAAAACACTAGCAGCACTTACAGTCACAATGGCGACCATTGCCAATCTATTTTAAATCTGACAGTTCTATGGTTGGCTGTGTAAGTTACTTTATATCAAGTTTGGAAAGATAAATTTTAAGGTGCTTTGATATAGTTTTTTTGCTTACTTTGTTATTGATCTTTAAATATTTGTCATCTTATAATCATAATTAAAACCACCGAGATCTTTTATAATTCGGTAGTTAAAATTTCTGTTTCTATTTAATATATCTAAATTTTTTTTCTGTATTTGGTTGTTACGAGTTTTGTGTAGCAGTTTCAATAAATGGCCTGATTCTCGCCTAGGCACAATAGGCATGGGCCTAGGACCCACAATTTCTAAAGGGGCCTCAAAAATTAGTAAAAAGTCTAATGAAAGGTGGGCTAGCTTTGTGTTGGTTTAATCACTAAATAAAAAATAATTCAGCTAATCAGTGACTTTCTGCAAAAATTACTGATTTTCACTGCTTGTGGTCACCAAACTATTTTTATTTTGATATAACATTTTGTTGTTTCATATTTGCCTTTAGTTTATAGATACGTAAACTTTATCTTAGAAAAATAATCTTCAATTGTCTGCTTTCAAAATTTCTTAGAATGTTTCTTTTGAATCATGCAGTTGAAAAGATTCTTTTCTATTGTTAGGACTACTATTCAGTAATTTAGTTTTAAATTATTTTGTAAGGGGGGCCCGAAAAATTTGGTGGGCCTTGGGCCTGAATTTGTCCTGATTGGTCCCTGAATGCGCAGGGAAGACACTATGATGTTCAGGTGTGCATTTTTTCAATGGAACACTCCACGACTTTCAGGGACACCTTTCTTTTAAAATCCGTACGCTTCTCAGAAACGTATGAAAAATCTGGTATGAACAAGAAGGAAATATAATCACATTCTTTTCAGTTCCCCACACTGTAAAAAAACTCTAAATCTAATTACGGTTAAAAAAATGCCAGTAATCAGGGTGTCGGTACTTTTTACTGTAAAATTTATTTTTTCCCGCAACATCTTACGGAATGAAATCTGATATACCGTAATTTTTACAGTAATAGTTAGTGTAGAATCTCTGAATCAGTCTAATTTAATAAATATTTACCTCAAAAATTACGGTATAATATTTTACTGTAAAAATAGATTTTATGGATGATGCATCCAACGTTCCGGCTCTTAATACCGTAATTTGATCCGGAATTGTTTAGAGTGCAATGTAAAGTTACGTAAGTTTCAGTATCAAACTCTTGAATGAATTTCTTATTTTCCGCATTAATATCTTAATGGTCATGCAAGTAAAGTTGACCAGTAGGAACTGCACCAAAATAGAACAGCAGTATAATGTTAAGAATACAGGTATTTGAAATATTTAAAAATATTGCTTGATGATAGTAATCATCTCCTTTAATATACATTTAACCAGTCGAATCCTTTATTCAAATGACTACTATCAATCGAGGAATGTAATCAATACCACACTAAAAAGGAAAGAGAGTAAACCAAAAGTGGGGGTATTCATCAGTATAAAAGTAATATTTGTTTAGAAAAATAATAAATGCATATTTTAAGTAAACATTTATCAAATAAAATTGTTTAAAAAAGAAATGTTTGAAAAGTTTTCATATTTTTTATTATTTTTAAGCAAAATATATTTTAGTACAAAGCATAGAGCAATTAAAGTGATAAGTTGCAATTTTCTTCAATTTTAGTAAAATCCTTTTTGAGAATCCATTCTGAGACAGCGAAATACTTTTTGATGAATAATACTCATCTAAAATAAATTTAAAGTTTTATAAAAGAAGTTGAAATTAAAAATTTTCATTTTTCGGATATTTAATGTCCCTTATGAGTTATTTTGCTTTGATGTTAAATCAAATTGATACACCAATATGATTTAATACATAGACGCATCAACATATTTTTTATGCGGAGTTATATGTTTATTCAAGACTTTTCGGGATGTGGGATTATTTTAATATTATATGAAGTTCCACTCCCTATAAAACCAATGGCAAGTTTAGTCTTAGGTTTTGCTACGATTGCATGTACATATTTTTATTGTTAATAAGGTTGAAGAAAGAACCCTGAAAAAAGTTTAGATGTTTGAATATGGTTGGGTATTGGACAACCTTCATCCTATTGACAGCATTGATTAGTGAGTTTTCAAGACAGTTGGTACCTGTCCATGCATTTGTAGAGGATTTCTGTGATGGAATTGTTGCTGTTTCTTCATTTTGATTTCACCTGTTCAGATGTACTTCATTTTTATTTCAACTAGTTCTATTCCTTAGAAACACACAAAACTATCCCGTAGAAACACAAAATTAAATAGTATCTTATTTGAAAGTGCTGTTTATTTATAGAAGTATCTCGATGAGCATACCATTTGAAAATTTAACATACATAAAATGAAATAAAAAAAACTGGAATAAGTCATCTACAGCATACATCCGTCACCCTATTCAAATGACTTGACGAATAACTTTCAGGAAGAGGCCGGGGAAAATATGATTATGCAAAAGACTCGGGCACACCAAAAAATCAACAAACAAAGCTTTGGAATGTCATCTCATTTTCTCAACGCCCAAAACATCTGCAGAAAAATAAAGGGGGGAAAGAAAAGTCTTTATGAACAGGCGTAGTCGAATAATTCCCTGTTCTGCCTATCTTCAAACAACAAAGGGATCCTTCTAGTTTGAAGGCGAATATTCCAGATCCAACAAGTAATCCTATTGGCTGTGAATCCAACAAAAAACTCTCCAAAAAAGTTCCCCGGATTGACTCATATGCCCCAGGTGTCCATTTTATGCAAGAATAACAAGAACAGGGAATTTTTTTCACTTTCTTCATTCCGCATTCGGCCTTTTCTTGAACTAAGCTTAAATTTTCCAGAGCTCTACATCTGAAATAATCTTACTGAAGTCATATCTATCTAGAACTTTGCGCATCGACCAACTACGTTTACGAATCTCATTACCGTATGTGTATTCGGAAGGTTTTATATAGAGATATATATATTTTCCTTCATCTGCAAGCCTTCACAATTTACGGTTCCCCAGTCGTTGTGTATGCAAAACAGGAGGGAAAGCGTGAAGAATTTGGGCTGAGTCAACAAGGATGGGAGTTGGTGGCGTACGAAAAATGATGATATTCAAGTTTTTCGGGAAAATTGAGAGCTTCCAATAAGTAAGAAGAGATGGAAAATTGGGAAAAAAAGGAAAAGTAGGAGAATATGTAAACATAAGAATCTTCGAAGGAGGAAATTATCCGATGAAAAAAGATGAAAACAAAGATAAAATGAAGGAGGAGCTTAACGCCTAAAACAAAAAATATGCTGGAAGTAATAAGATATATTTTTGAAGGCGGAGCTTTTGAAGTTTTTCATCATATTATATGAAAATTGAATATTTTTATTAACCAAATAGTATTGTTTTAATATGTTTAAGGATGGTTATTTGATAATGCTCTTTAGTTATTTGAAGATTAACTTGATATTTTGTAAGGTAAACTAGATGCTGCAAAATCTAGTTTAGCTAGAACTAGATTTCTGCAAAAATTAGATTTCTGCAAAACCCAGATATTTCGCATTCATAAGCATCTAGTAAAATTAAGAACTTTAGAAAATCATTGATCTTATTATTGTAAATCTAGTTCATACAGATGGTACATTTGTTATTCTAATGCGTGCAGTTGCTACCAATTATTTTACTTAAGGTTATTTGATAATATTATTTAGTTATTTCAGGTGTAACCTAATAGTTTTTAAGTTAAACTAGATGCTCCAAAATCTAGTAAAACTTAATTCTGCAAAACTTAAGTGTTTCATATTCCTAAACATCTAGTAAAATTAAAAGCTTTAAAATACAGTTGATCTTGTTGCTGTAAATATAGTTCATATAGATGGTACAGTTGCTGTTCTAATCCATGCACTGCTACCAATTCCTTTTGGGTGGTTATTTGATGATACTCTTTAGTTATTTGAGGTGTAACTTAATAATTTGTAAGTTAAACTACATGCTACAAAATCTAGTTAAGTTATATTCTGCAAACCCTACATGCTTTGTATTCATAAATATCAGTAAAATTAAAAACTTTGAAACACAGTTGATCCTGTATCTAAAAATCTAGTTCATATAGATGGTACAGTTGATGTTCTAATGCATGCAGTTACTACCAATTCCCTTTTTGATGGTAATTTGATAATACTCTTTAGTTATTTGAGGTATAACTTAATAATTTGTAAGTTAAACTAGATGCTACAAAATCTAGGAAAACCGAATTTTGCAAAATTAATTTGTTTCATATTCATAAACATCTAGTAAATTGAAAAGATTTAAAATGTAGTTGATTTTGTTACTGTAAATCTACTTCGTATGGTGGTACAGCTGCTTTTCTAATGCATGCAGTTGCTGCCAATCGTTTGCGGATTTTTATTTGATAAGTTATTTTAGTTATTTTAAGTGTAACTTGATATTTTGTAAATTGAACTAGATGCTGCTAATCTAGTACGACTAGATTCTGCAAAACCTAGTTGTTTCATATCCGTAAAAATCTAGTGTGTTTAAAGCCTTAAATTTTATTTGAAGTTGTTACATTAGATCTAGTTAGATTTTATATTATAGTTGTCATTCTGACCAATTCAGCTGCTACCAATTTTTTGGGAACGATTCTTTGAGAAAGCTCATAAGTATTTTCAGATCTTACTTGATGTTCTATGCATTGCAAAATCTAACTAGACAAAATTTTGCAGACCACAGGTTATCCAGATTTTCCAAAATCAAATAATTTTAGATTCAAAAAAATCTAGTTTGTTAAGAAGGTTTGATCTAGGTTGATTTAGATCCTGTAAATCTAATTGAAATAGATGCATTAATTTATGTAGCTGCTATCCATTTATGTGGATTAATACTTGAGAAAGTTCGTAAATTGTTTTAGATCTAATTAGATGAACTGCAAGTTAATCTAGATGCTCCAAATCGTAACTAGTCTAAATTCCACAAAATTGTATTACTTTTGTTGCAAAACCTAGTTGTTCCAGATACTAAAAAATTTAGTTTTAATCTAATTAATCA